AATTACCAATTAATTATTAACTAACTATCAATTAATTACCAATTAATCATTAACCAATTGTTAATTAATTAATTATTAACTACTAATTAATTATTAATGTTTTACATTAAAGTTGACCAAAGGGCAATCGAGAGTAGGGAATCAGAATCTGAAGTCAGTTTCTCGATATTTTGAATTGAGTTCTTTTGGATTGAGGAGGAAAATTTTTTTTTTAGAAAATAATATTTCCTCGAGTATAGCAAGGCTTATATGGAATAAAATAAATTTTTATCTGTTTTTGTAAGAGTGAAAGGTGAAACGTCATGAAAACATTGACGAAGTGTTTGGTGCTCCTGCTTTCAATGCGACTTTCAACCAATTTGATTTTTCAAACTGAAAATTCAGTCAATGCGACGTATGTGATAAGTTTTCCATTAATCAGCTGTTTCATAACTGAGTTTCCATGAATGAGGCTTGTTTTTAGCTGAGTTTCTAACGGGTGATGCTTTGTGTAGGACTACTCTAGTCAGTCAAACATTTTAGATCTGGAATTGGAGGAAATATGAGTTCATTGTTTGTAGTTGAAGAGGTACCGTTTTTTTTTGACAATACTGCCAAGCTTTAAGATACATCATGATCGAAATTTTCGTCTAATAGTGGAGAAAGAAGGGCATGATGGTCAGATATTCAACTTTTTTAGTTTGTATTTTTGTTAGAATCGTGATAAATGTGGTTATAGCTGTTTTGGAATAGCTTGTAAATCTAGTAGTTTTCTAAGTAACACCAATCTGATATTTGATAGGGTTTAAGTGAAAAGATTTATTTCATGGTAAAATAAGATCAAAGGTAGCAACAGCTAGTCACGAGTGACGCCCCAAAGGATCGTCGACGAGCAACTAGCTGGTGCACTGGGTTATCTGCAGAAGTGCCGATTCAAAGTATTGGGATTCATTGAATAATCATCAATAGTCGATGTTCAATGGGTCTGATTAAGTAATAACAGATGCAAAAAGCCGAAAAAAACTGTATCAAGTCAAGGATGAGAAACAGTTTTTATGTTTAGCCACAATAGCTAAATAATTCATCGGACGAAAAAAATTACTCGAAGGATTTATATTTGCTGTATCAGCAGTGGACATGAATGAAATAAACTAGAGGTTCTCGTGGTATATGCTTTTCTTTGTATTAATTCAAGTATCTGTATGTATACTGATATATTCAAATTACCTGTCTAGTAAACAGTATCGTTAGTTCACCCTTTAGTAAGTGAATGGATTTTTAGTAGAAGTCTTAAAGAGTATGGCACGTTTTCACAAAATTGTCGCAAATGTTTTTTATTTTATTGCCTCTCAGCAAACTGAATAAAACATCTTTTTGTTCAAGTAGATGTGGATACCCGCGCCATAGTTTAATTCTATAGATTTTTATTGAGTATCAGTGTGAGGGTGTCAAATTGATTGGATGTATTCGTGACAAAAATGAAATATCCTGATCCACATACCATTATTCACAACGTGATTGATGCTAATACCAACGTATAAACACCTACTCACTCTTGTGGAATATTGGGTACTAGCTGTGTTGTAAAGTGTAAAGCATTATAAAATATCAAAGAGCTGAAAATACAGTCGAGGGTCAAGCGAGTCACTCGGACAAGCATTACTTGTTATCAATTATTTCAATTTCTTCCTCTTTCATATTCACTATTGTCTCGCGCAAACGCTCTCTCTCCTATATATTTTGTAGATTGTAAATTAACTTCTATCATGACACCGTCATCAAAAAACATTCTCGAAATGTTTTTTGAAGTAGCACATGCCTCTCCACAACAGGTGGCGATCGAGCTTGATGAACAGACATGGACATATGGTGAACTACTGACGAATGTGATCTGTGTCGCTTGTCACCTTCAAATCGAGATAGGTCAAATTGTCTACCAATATGTTGATCGTAGTTTAGAGATGGTATGTGGACTATTGGGAATCATGTGTGCTGGTGGTGCATATTGTCCGCTATGTCCTACTGATCCACCTATGTACGTGCGTGCATTGATTGATGAAACTCAAGGCCGATGTGTTCTCGTTCATGAGAATACACATGAGAAATTCTCAAGCACAATTAGTGATAAAATTCAAATGATCAATCTTGAATATATTTTACTAGCTGACATCACAGAAGAAGTCGCTAAAAAGAGTAATTATTTGTGTTTTGAACAAATTCACATTCACATGTTTTATTTATTTTGCAGAAATATTTGTCGAGAGTGACAGTCCAAGTTTTGTTATTTGCACATCTGGTACCACCGATCGACAAAAAATAATTGTGCACACACATGCATCTCTTATAACAGGTGTTCATAATCTAATGAGTTGGGACACTAAGCACGGTGATAAGGTTCTTCAAGTAGTTGCGTCTTCGTGGATCATTCACTTGTTTGAAATTCTGATGCCATTGGTGATAGTTCCTTCAGGCACAATAGTGCTTTTACCACCAGGAGATAATTTGAATATGACCCATTTTTGCAAGACTATCAAAGAAAAACAAATTACCATTCTCTTTATCAATCCGTCATTGCTTCAAATGTTGCTTGACTACTTCGAGCTGAACGATAGTGAACGTAATGAAACACTTGAACGAGTACGCATCTTATGGATATCAGGTGAACCTCCTAAAGCGCAACATCTGGCTAAAATTAAGTCCTTTTCTTCGCAAATCCGCATCTTTTTAATATTCGCCATGAGTGAAACAGGTGCTGCTATAGGGCGCGAAATCAAAGAGAATATTGATGAACTTATAGATTTAAGTATCTTGCCTATTGGTTGTTCACTAGCGGAATATCGATGTTTACTAATGGATGAAAGTAATGATGAACGAGTTATTTCGCCATTGGATACAAACAGAATTGGTCAAATTTATCTTGCAGGTATTATCTCTTGTATTCTAATGATTATGAAAGTTTGTCATCTGCATATTTACAGGTGGTGGTCTTTTCCAATGTTACTATAACAATCCAGAGTTGACCAGTCGGACCCGGATAATAATCAATAATGAAGAATTTTTCAAAACAGGTGATCTTGCTTGGTACAATGCAAAAAGTGAATTCGTGCACGCTGGACGTATCGATTTTCAAATAAAAATTGATGATCAACGAATAGAACCAGCCGAAGTTGAGAGAACAATTATAGCCTGCTGTCCAAATGAGATCTCCAACTGTCTCGTAACCAAATTATCCCAAGACGAGGACTTACTCGTAGCCTATGTCATCGGTGATGACTCGCAGATTGATACTGAATCAATTCGAAATTACTGCAAAGATCATCTTCATCAATACATGGTTCCATCCTATTTTGTTGTCCTCGACAAATTCCCACTGGATGCAAACGGGAAAGTAGATAGAAAACAACTACCATTACCATCACTATCCACTAATGTTCCAATGCAATTCGTTAAAACCGACAAACTTTTATCATCAGTCGTCTCAAAGTTCGACGTCTGTCTTCCTGAGAGAACAGTTTCCAAAGGTAATCTTTCAAATGCATAATTACAAATCGTTAAACAAGCTAGAGTCATTTATACCTTCATTGAAAAAGTAGTCTCTACTAACATATCGAAAATAGTGGAACTGCTTGGTTCTAATCATTGTTAGAGTACAATTTCAGTCACGAGCGGATTTAGGAAAATTTTGTAGGGTATATGAGTTAGAGGAAAAGTTAAGGAATTTTCTCTGCTCACTTCTTCATTTTGTCTTCTGCTATCGAGTCAAGTTCAAAGAGAGAGCAACCGCATCCCTTGGATCTACTTTGTATCGACTCCATATATACTGAATGGTTTTTCCATGGATTTTATCTTGAGATATTCTGTTTTTTGATAAGCCATATCCTCCTCTTATGTAAATAGATCTTCTCTTTTTCTCCTGCATGAGATATTCTGAAAAAAAAAGAAGTTCTGCAAGACTTTTTTAAGGATTCTGATGTCAGGTAAAACACAGAACTATAAGAAAAGGGTTCTGGCTATAAAGAGGATCTGTCAAGAACTCACCAAAGCATTTACGGCTGATTCTTCAACATGATTCATTCTGATATAAAAGGTATCAAAATTCAATACTTTACCATGAAACCTTATTAAATACCTTAGAAACCGAAACATTCTCTCAATTTTGTTACTATCTAACAACTTTTCAGAGATTCAGAAATCCTGGACACTCAGAAAGAGACAGTCACATTGATGCATGGAACACTAACCTCGAAATCAGATGAAATGTTTTCAACATAAACAATACTTTGCAGGTACTATGTATAAAGAAGCCCTGCACTAGGGTGATTTGGTCTCTGGACGCAGGAGGACATCAGATAAACTGTCGCGAACGTTTCTCAAAACAAACCCTTCTCAAAGTAGCATTAGAGGATAGAAGAAATCGATAATAAAATAAAATAAAATCACAGAAGAAGTTGAGTCTAAGAAGTATAATACGAAAGTTAATAAAATTCAAATTTGAATGAATAAAAGAGAAAAAGCATTTGTTTGAAATATATTTGTATAAAGCAGTTATATTTATGCATTCTAATTATGAGAAGCAAATTATTATACTTTATATATTAGTAAAATGTCATCTAGAAAAAAAAAGCTCATGATTCTGCAACGAATATAGTAGTTTGTCAAATAGTTAAAAAAATACAATAGGCATGTTCGCTGATTGCGTCAATCATGCCATAGTGTAAGTGAAAATACAGTGATATTTCATATTAAAATTATAAATAATAAACGTAAATGGTGGAGCTGATATAGCTTTATAATTGTTCAACAAAATTATTTCTAATTAAGAGATGCTTTTTACGACATAATAGTTTATTTCACTTATATCCTTAGATAAATAACAGCTAAACAAGGTGAATAAATTAACATAACAACAAAACAAAATTCATTTGTCTTCACGGCCGAAGTACATAAAAATAAACGACATTTTCGATCGACGGAGGATATTGTCCAATTATCATACAATAAAGTGTTATGAAATGTAGGAAAGGAAACAAATATATGGAATAGTTCTGTCGGATACATTCTAAATCCTACTGAAAAAAGTTCTGTATCGAATCCTTTTTCATAAAGTCTTTGTTATAAGTGCTTTGATAAATCAATGGTTTCTCTTTTATACCAGTTGTAGTTTCCTATTTTAATTGATAAGCTAAAAATTTTTACAGAACAGGTCGAATTTTTTAGGATCCAGTATTATTTGACGATATCCCTTTGATCCAATATTACCGAACCAGCATCATTCAATTAAGAACTTTAGATGGCTCACGATTTTTCGTCAGAACTTTTCGACGATCTGAGTGACTAGATAGGACCTATTCGGTTCAGTATGACGGAACAAAAATCTCTGAATGGTGTTGAATTTTTTTGTAGAATCTTTGATAGTTCTGGTTTTCTGGAGAAAACATTTTGTGGTTTTTCTACTATCATGCAGAACTTAAAATGGTTCTGCAAACACTCCAGAATCAAAAATAGTTCTGCAGGCCTTCTTTATTTTTTTTTTCAGAGTAGGCATACTCAAGAGAGAGAGAGAAGAAATTACTATGATGAAAAGTAAAGGTTAGACTGTCTTTTTTGCTCAAAAACCGGTATCTTTTAGTAAAAATCATTTTTTTCCTTCGTTCTTTTTCTATAAAATTCTTTTTTTTTCTATAGAATCATTTCTCTTCTCTTTAGCTCGTCCGAGATAAATAAGTTTGAGTCAGACAGGAAGAAAACTTGACAGAAACAAAAACACTTTTTCTTCCATCTAGTTGACAATATTTTTTCACTTATTCATAAATATACGCATATACAGGGTGTCCTAAAAATCCGAACGAAAAGTAAATTTCTCTAATTCCACTATTTATCAAAGTTAATCAACTATTTTTTTTAATGCAAATGATAGATATCACTGTGAAGCTTTTATTTATACGGACAAACTTCACAAATACTGTTTAAAGTTATCAGTTTCGACTGAAATACAACAATTAGTCTTTTGTTGATTTCAAAACAAAATACTACGCAGCGTTTCTGTTTTGATGCTTCAAGTTCTTGCGCTATCGTTTGTATGTCTGTGTTTTGATATACCACTACAAAAAGAAGCCTAATTTTGCCAGGTCCGGTAATCATGAAGTCCATGAGATCATTCTATCTTTTTTGGACGATGACTGATGAATTGGAAAAGGTGAATCGATCTTATGGGCTTCAACATTACTGGACTTGACCAAATTAGGCTTCTTTTTATACTGGTACATCAAAACACAGGCATACAAACAATAGCGCAAGATCTAGTCGATCTAATCGCCACAAAAGACGCAAGAATTTGAAGCGTCAAAACAGAAAAGTGGCGTGATTTTGTTTTTGAAATCGCCAAAAGGCTGACTGTTATATATATTATTTGGATAAAAAAAAAGTAGTTGATTAAGTTTAATAAACAGTAAAGTTATAGGAATTTAGTTTTTGGTTCGAACTTTTAGGACACCTTGTGTATGTACATATTATTTCTTGTAATTTGATGGGAATTATGTCAAAATATATCGACATTGAAAAGTTGAGTTTGAAACTAATGAGATGTGAAACAATTGATGATGACATAGATCTAGTTTGTTGCCATTAAATATAAATAATGCTTTCTTAACTTCTAGGTGCTTGTCAATGCTGGTCGTCGTTATCTTCCATTCCATTTCGATCATGTAGCAACAGTCATTGCTCGATCATGAATAAACATCGACTGACAACTGCAAATAATAATAATAATAATAATAATAATAGGATAAAGAAAAACATTTTTCATACATCATTACCAACAGTTGTCAATATCTCAAATGATGATTCACCTAAAGATGAAACTGACCGTTTTCTTAATGAACGTGGTTCATCAAATATTTTATTCGATCTACCAGATTCATATAATCTTGAAGAAAGAGATGAAAATGAATTACCATTTCCAGGTTTTGTTGAAAAAGCTTTCTATTGCCTTCGACAAACAACACCACCACGTTATCAATGTTTAAAACTTATAACATGGCCATGGTTTGAACGTATAAGTATGCTTGTTATTTTGCTTAATTGTATTACACTTGGTATGCATCAACCATGTGCACATCATACCGGTATAGATTCATTGAAAAAATGCGATACAGCACTTTGTATTTGGCTACAAGCAACAGATCATTTTGTTTTTGCATTTTTTACAATTGAAATGTGTATTAAAATGACAGCGATGGGAATATTTGGTAAAGGAACTTATCTTGCTGAATCATGGAATCGACTTGATTGTTTTATTGTTCTTACCGGGTATGATCATCTCAACTTTTGTTTTGAACAAAAAAAAACTAAAATTATCTTTAACAAAATTGATCAGAAATTTGACGAGTTTAACTATGAAAATTATCGGAAGTGGCAAACATTTTTTATGCAGAACTTTAAAAGAGTTTCTGTTTATTTGAAGTCATTTGAGAGCTCTCAAGGCCTGAATTGTTTCAACAATCATCAACAAGAAACATTTTGAAAGTTAATGCTGTCAAGGGTCTTATAAAATTCTGTCTAAAATATGCTTTCAATTTTCAATTTTAATGTTTTATCTTGATACACTGAAAATAATTTTTACAGCAAGATCGATTTTTTTTTGGAATGAATATTTCAGATCTATAAGAGACAATAAAGTATAGAGATGCGAATAAAAAGTTGTTCACTATTAATCTTTAGAGTAGTGGAATTGTTGATACCAGGTGATAGTTTAAGTCTATCAGCTATTCGTACAGTTCGAGTACTTCGTCCATTACGTGCTATTAATCGTATACCGTCGATGCGTATTCTTGTTATGCTTCTACTCGATACATTACCTATGCTTGGCAATGTATTTCTTCTCTGTTTTTTTACCTTTTTTATCTTTGGTATTATTGGTGTACAATTATGGAAAGGATTATTACGTAATCGTTGTTTTTTACAACTGAATACTACAATTATAGATAATTATACATTGTTCGAGTATGTTTATCGAAAACTAAATATTCCGTTTTTTATTTTCTTTTTTAAGTGATTTTCCTTCCCAATCTTTTTATATTCCTCCTGATCAAGATTCATTTATTTGTTCTAATCTATCATCAAGTGGAATGACAAAATGTTCAGAAATTCCACAATATCGTCGAGATAATATGACATGTGAACTTGATTTTCATTCATTGAATTTCTCATTAACAAATAAAGCAATAAATGGATGTATTAATTGGAATCAATATTATCAATTATGTGCTATTTCTGATCAAAATCCATTTTCTGGATCGATTAGTTTCGATAATATTATTCTAGCATCGCTTGCTATTTTTCAGGTACATTTTCTTATTTATTCGTTAAATATTTCTATGTTCGCTTTTTCTATTTAATTAGATAATTACTTTTGAAAATTGGGTTAGTATAATGTATTATATACAAGATGCACATTCATTTTGGAATTGGATGTATTTTGTATGTCTTATTGTTATTGGTTCATTTTTTATGATGAATCTTTGTCTTGTTGTTATTTCTGCACAATTTGGTGTAACAAAAAAACGTGAAACAGAACGAATGTTAGCTGAACAAAGACGTTTTTCACTCTCAACAACTAGTATAACAATTAATCAACAAGGTTCTTGTTGGGAAGAAATAATTAAATATTTTCAACGATTATTGAAACGTGCATATAAACGATTTAGAATATTCTGGAAAAATCACCGACAAAAACATGGTAAAGTAAGTATAACAAAAATTGTATAAAATTAATCATATTAACAATTTTTAATAGGAGAAAATCGAAATGCTAGTTTTGAAAAAATAAATCCTAATCAGTCAATTAAAGATCAATCAATCAGATTATGTAAACAATACTTTTGCAATATGAATTTAAGTATTTGTTATACTTCCACAAGTCTACAGTATTAAAGATTTCTAGATCCAAGATGTAGAATACAAAGATTAGAAGAAATTTTCACCTTAGAGATAGCATCAAATTTCATTCGTTCGCATCTCAGAGATCCACTATAAGTCGTTGACAAGTCACTAGAGATTGCGAGTGGCATTTTTTTCGTGCCCTGTGTGGTTGATGAAAACTGATCAGCTTCCCCACATTAACTAGAGGATACCTTTCTCTTCAACTACCGTTGATTGACTATTAGACCAGTAATCAGATCTATTGAAAAACCGTTTCAATAGTATCGATCAAAGATCGAAACGAACCGTACTTTTGGATTCGAGTTCTGTTCGATTAGAACATTTGAAAAGTGGTTCGGATACGATACATTCAGAAAAATAGTGCTATCGAAAAAATTTTTGTTCAATTTCAAAAACTATTTGACTTTGATGAATATTTGTACGTATAAAAGAAATAAAATTAAATAATTGTTTTTTTCACAGGTTAATCAAAAACATCATCGAAAAGTAACAAGAACAAAAAAGGTATTAACACCAAATGCATTATCTTCATCTAATGTCAATATGGTTTCGTCAACTCCACTGATTAATCAAAACCATCGACCAAATTGTCGATATCATCAATCTCAATCATTATTAGTACCAACACCATTATCAAAATCGATTGATCGTGGCACTGATACCTGTGACATTCATCCAGACGTAATTGCTCCAATATCAGCAAATAATAATTCATTTATTGAAAAAAATCGACAAAAAAATGAACATCTTGCATTTGAACGACAAGAACAACAAATAGAAAGAAATGATACATGTGATTGTTATTATCAAGATGAAATTGTTAATATATCTGACAATAATCGAGAAGAAGAAGAAGAAGAAGAAGAAAAATCAAAATGTCGTCAAAGATGTAAAATTTGTTGTTGTCCATGTTTTACAACAATACATAAATTAATTTCACGTTTTGTTGCTAGTAAATATTTTGATCGCATTATTTTCTCAGCTATTATTATAAATACACTTTCAATGGCTATTGAATATCATGGACAATCACAATCATTAACAAATGTATTAGAATATAGCAATTATGTTTTTGTAATATTATTTATACTTGAAATGTTATTTAAAATAATTGCTGAAGGTTGTTTAAACTATATTAAAAACCCATTCAATGTATTTGATGGTGGAATTATTGTAATTAGTCTTATTGAATTATATGGAACAAAAACTAGTGGATTATCTGTTTTACGTACATTTAGATTATTACGTGTACTTAAACTTGTCCGATTTATGCCAACATTAAGACGACAATTGGTGAGTTAGATTACAATTTAATACCTAGATCGGTTAAAATGGAGATCGTAACGATGCCGTTTACGGTGAGATAAACTACCATAAACGGTGTTTTAAGGTAGTTGTATACGGATCATATTTTTATCATCGACGATAGTATTTACAGCATTTTCTAGTAGTTTACTCCTGCTTTCAATCGGTTTTTCCCTATTCAATTTATTGTGGTATCTAGTTATAGCATGCTGGTACCTTGCCAATCCACGCTTCGTGCTATTTTTTTTTACCCCTGCTTTGTATTTTTGCACAAAATGAATGTTTGACTAAATAGAGAGCATGATAAAATAGGTAGAGAATGATAACGTAGAAAAAACTGTCTGATGAATGCTAAGAAGAAGAAAAAATCTTAGCAAACTATTTGGGAAGCGAAAATAAAAATCTTTGGTGACTTATCCAACACAAATAATGCTAGGAAAGGCGATAAAAATACATGTGTCTTCGCCTATAATCTGTAACAATAACAAATCTAGACGCTATGCAGCTTCTCACAAAAACATCATTAAACAGCACGCACATGGAGTGCTGGAAAGAGCTTACCGAGGCCTATTGATTGATATGAGTATTGGCTGGAAAAAATCTATAGAGGTTTCACATTAACAAAGAAAAGAAATCTCCCATCAGAATAAGCGCAAAAATAAAAACAATGATGCTTAAGTCCAGTTCAATCTCTGGCTTCATCAGATCCTGATAGTAAGGATATTTGAACTCTGAAAGTTTTCAAAATCTAGAGCGTTTCGCAGTGCACGCGCACTTTTACATACATACGTTTTTATATAACGATGCAAAAACGGAACGTTAGCAGCCACTGTTATGGCATTGCATGCCGCACTCCGTAATTCATCTGCAACTTGTCGGAAAGAGACGTTTGTATATGGTAACCCAACGAGTCGCTATGAGTACATCGTTTTTTACTCATTTATTGTCGTTTACGAACCGTTTTGTTCGACCTGAGTAGTTTATTTTAAAAAAGATAACGTTTCCTTAAATATTAATAAAATAATGATCGAAAGACGAACGAAGGAAATTTTCATAGTACATTAGTCAAATGTTTTGTCGTCATCGCATTTAATTACGGATTTGCCTCTAAGCGGATAGCTGACGAAGTCTTCAATGATTAATTTAATAATACCGTTTACCATATTTGACAACAGCTAATCAGAAAATCTTCACAGCTAAAGTGGAAAAGGTATGACCATATCCTCTAGAAAATTAAAAAGTGAACCACGATGGAGCTGCTGAAATAGTAGATAAGAGTTCTTGTATATGGGAAGCAGGTGGTTCAAATTTTTGAATATATACTTCAACACTTGTTTCTGTATTTTGTCGTTTGTTATCTAGGTTGTCTTGCTTAAAACATTGGACAGCGTTGCAGCATTTTTATTATTATTACTTCTTTTCGTATTCATTTTCAGGTAAGTCTATAGAAAAACAAATATTTTTATTTTCCCTCTCTCTCTCTCTCGCCTTAACTACTCTGGAAATGAATATTTTTCATTGTAAATTTCTCAAGTATATCTAAGTAGAACACAGCAAACAACTCCTTGAAACAAATCGTAGGTGTATAGCCTTTTTTTTGTCATCATACGCATATACACATTATTTTACTTCTTTTTTATTTTGTTTTCTCTTCTAAATTCGAATAGTATTCTTGGTATGCATTTATTCGGTGGTGAATTTTGCACGCTTGAAGCATTCAATAGAACATTACGTGAACAAATTGATATGAAATGTCGTTGTTGTGCATGTGCTGAGTGGAATTTATTAAAAAACTCTACTGATCTCAAAGATTTAACATGTATACAAGATAGAGCAAACTTTGATTCATTTCGTTTTGCATTATTAACCGTATTTCAGGTATCATAAAATATTAATCAATAGGATTTTGTTGTTCATTCTTGTACACATAAAACTACTTCTCTATTCTCAGCTTTATTGTTTGCTTCTTCTTCTTTGAGCAAATATATCCCATCTATTAACTATTTTACTTATCTTTTCGAATAATTCTAATTTATATGATATAAAATAGATACTAACACAAGAAGATTGGAATGAAGTACTTTATAATGGAATGAAAAAGACAAGTCCATGGTCAGCATTATATTTTATTGCACTTATGATATTTGGGAATTATATATTATTGAATTTACTGGTTGCTATTGTTGTTGAAAGTTATTCAAATGCAGTAAATTAACGTTTTTTTTTTAAATATTTTATCATTATTTTATTTTGTTTAGAAAGAAGATGGTACGCCAAACAATAATAATAATAGTACAGATAGATTGGACAAAGCAGATCCATTTACAGTAAAACCTATAAAATGAAACAAAAACTTGTAATATCTTTTGAAAAAATATTTATTTTCAGACACAAGCAATTATCACAGGTAGTATTGAAATACCTGAGAATCTCAATGAACCGAAAAATATTAAACTCAGTAATGATGATAAGAAAAATGATCGACGACCAGATACGTTAGCTGGTACTGTACATCGTACAAATTCTGATCCATCATTTCCATCATCATCATCATCATCAACACGATATTTTATTGTTCACGAAGGGAATTTAATTGAACAAAAATCGAATAATATAACAAATACATGTTTAAATTCAACTGTTAAACGTCGATCAACAATTGATAATTCATCAAATTCATTTAATCAAAATGTATTGACAAATATTAATCAAACACCAAGAAGACAAGAACAAAATGATAGACATACAGAATCTAATACTAGTAGTACTATACAAACTACTGTTGGTACTCAACTACCAGTAAACGATCAAAATAATATACAATTAGATGTGTCAGCTGAAGATGACACACAACTGGAATTAACAACTCAAAAATCAGGAGTAAATATTAATTTTTATTTCAAATTCATTTCGAAATAGTCACTTGAAAAAGATTCATTTATTCTTACATTCTCAGCTAACTTTAGTACTTCATAGCAAAAATTTTGATTCGTACAACAGTATCGGTCGATGTCATCAAACAGTGTGTAGGACATGTTAGTAATCGAAAAAGGCATTGCATCTATTCACATCTGTGCTGGAGGTCAACCCGATCTTGTTCGAGTCCAAAATTTTTAGAGGGAATGAATCTATCAGTCGGATGCGATTGACCTGAGTCAAAAAGTTTATCAAAATCAAAATTAATAATGAATATCTATTTTATTTTAGGTCATTCAATCATGTTTAACTCGATTTTGTGGACAACGAATATTTAAATGTTTAAAGAAACGTGAAAACTATTCACTTTATCTTTTTTCACCTTCTAATAGGTAAAATTTTGTTCTAAGAATAATTCGAAAAAGAAAATTTGTGATTTCCTTTCCTCTGATAGACTACGTAAAGTATTTCAACGATTAATTGTACACAAATCATTTGATTATTTAATTCTTTTCTTTATTATTCTTAATTGTATTACATTCGCTATGGAACGTCCATCGATTTCTCCTATAAGTTTTGTATGTAATTACTTAGTTTTTATTTTCAAGTTAAAAGCTAACAATTGCAAATTATATTGTAGGAACGACAATTTTTGAACTACAGTAATTATATATTTACAGCTATTTTTACTATTGAAATGATAATTAAAGTAATTGCAAATGGACTTATTTTTGGATCTAATACATATTTGCATACCGGCTGGAATGTTATGGATGGCTTTCTTGTAATTATTTCACTTGTTGACCTTGGTACAATGCATCGACGTAGTATCACATCACCTACAGAGTCGGATACAACATCACATATTCTGGGCATGTTAAGAGTCTTTCGTTTATTACGAACTTTACGAGCACTCACAGGTTGGAGAAGAGTTTTTTTTTTCTTTTCTTTTCTTTTGATTGATTTTCCCATTATATCGTTTTAGTTATTCATCGAGCACCCGGTCTTAAACTTGTCGCACAAGCTTTACTTGCATCATTGAAACAAATCGGTCATATTGTTATTATTTGTTGTGTAGTCTTTGTCATTTTTGGCATTCTTGGTGTTCAAGTAAGAGAGAGAGAAATTGCAATTCGATCTAAAAAGTTCAACATGATTTACTCTTAAAGTTGTTATACGACAATTTAAAAAATAATTTTTAATTCCTATAGATAAAGTTCGATACTCATCTATAGTATATTAGAAGTCTAGTCAAAAGTTTTACTGTATTCATTTTTCGTCACATTTTAAGTATCATTGAAGAATAAAATGAAAAAATTCTTGTTTTCTAACAAGTGATTACTATTCAAAATTTAGGAATCAATTTTTTCAGATAGTGTGCTTCTGTTTGAATGATCTTCTGTGCATGTTTCATATTCCAGAGATAGCTGGAACGGAAATAAGATCGAGCTCTTAAGCTAAATAACATCAAGTTTTTATTATTTCTTTCAGTAAAAATAACTCCATATGATAGAGATCCACGAAGATACTGCCTTATATTGCATGGCCTTAGAATGAGACAGGACTAATTCTAATAGATGGTGTCCGGCTGAAAACCTTTGGAAATAGATGAATTATGGAAGTGGAACTCTGCGATCATTTATGCTCAGTTTGATCGAAAATTGGAAGAGCTGATTGTCGAATTCCTGCTCAAAGATCCAACAATTTCTGGAGTTTACCGATCAGACTAGCATGACGCCATCCATCTAGACACTGGCATCTTTTCGTATGTTGATCCTGTAGGATTGTAGTACTAAACATTTGTTCAACGGACTTCTATTCCATATTCTCGGTTAATTCCCATCTATATCCGACCTTCCATAAAATCCATAATAGTTTATGGCTTTGCATTTCTCAAAATTTGATATCAGAAATCTTTAATTTTTTTCATGTGTTTTCACAATTCTTCAATCTCATTATTTACTTAAAAAAATTTTTTTAGCTCTTCAAAGGTAAATTCTACTATTGTGAAGGTCCTCTCGCTCGTAACGTAACAACAAGACAACAATGTGAAGCTATGTCCGATCATCAATGGCAAAATCAACAATACAATTTTGATCATTTGGGTCAAGTATGTTATCAAATATACTTTTGTCATTAAAATAATTTTTAAAAAAATTGCTCACTTTTATTTAGGCTCTGCTGACACTATTTATTCTTTCATCAAAGGATGGTTGGGTACAAATAATGTATAATGGTATTGATGCAGTCGATGTTGATATGCAACCAATAAGGAATTATAATGAAGCAAAATTAATTTATTTTATATCATTTATTTTAAGTGTCAGTTTTTTCGTTCTTAATATGTTTGTTGGTGTTGTTATTGAAAATTTTCATAATTGTCGAGCTCAACAAGAACTTGACGAAGAAGTTCAAAATAAAGCCAAACGTGCAAAAAAACTTGAACGTAAACAACGTCTTATGCGTGAATTACCATATTATGCACATTATTCATCATGGCGTAAACGTTTACATGATCTATGTATTAATAAATATTTTGATTTAATAATTGCTGCTATTATTGGTATTAATGTTCTTACAATGTCACTTGAATTTTATCCTATGCCATCTGTAAGGAAAAACAAAAATGACTTCATTTGATTATTTATATTGTTAAAATATTTTCTTTCTAGAATTTGGATAAGTTTCTTGAATATTGTAATTATGTATTTACGGTTATATTCTTACTTGAATTTATATGGAAAATTATTGCACTTGGACCATCACGTTATTTTAAAGAGAAGTAAGGAAAAAATAAATTTGAATTTTTTGTTCTATTTGATCTTTCTTTTAAGATGGAATCAGTTGGATTCAATTATTGTACTTTTTTCAATAGTTGATCTTATAATGGCAAAAATGTTAACTGGACATATTCTTTCAATAAATCCTACACTTATTCGTGTGATCAGAGTATTAAGAATTGCACGAGGTAAATGAATGGAATAAACCAAATAACGAAATTTTCTTCTTTTCGATTTCAGTACTCAAACTACTGAAAATGGCCAAAGGTATTCAAGCTTTATTAGATACTGTTGTTCAAGCTCTTCCACAAGTTGGAAATTTGGTAAATCGAATTATTTGGTTGTTTTTGAAGAATTTATTTTATTTTTTTCCTATTCTTTGATATTAGGGTCTTCTATTTCTTCTTCTTTTCTTTATCTTTGCTACACTTGGTGTTGAATTATTTGGAAAATTAGAATGTAGTGAAGAACAACCATGTAGTGGTCTCAGTAAACATGCACATTTTAAAAATTTTGGTATAGCTCTTCTTACATTATTTCGTGTTGCAACAGGTGATAATTGGAATGGTATCATGAAAGTAAATGATTGAAAAAATGATTAGTTCTTTTTTTTTTTAATCATAAATATTGTTTTAAAGGATACTTTACGTCCAGACAATTCACCTCATGGTAGCAAAAATCATTTTATGACAATAATTTCACCTATTTATTTTATTGTGTTCGTTCTTGCTGCTCAATTTGTACTTGTCAATGTTGTTGTCGCTGTACTCATGAAAAACCTTGAAGTAACTAGTTAATGCTAAGATAAAATAGTTAGATTCGTTTTTTTTTTGTTTTTCATTAGGATTCGAATAAGATGATAGCTGATGATGTTGAAATGAATGAAGAAATTGAACGACAACTTGAACTTGATGTATATGATGAAAATTATGTTGAACAATCATTAATAGACGTGAACGGACGTCATGTAAAAGAAAAAGTAACATTTACAAAATTATAAAGAATATTACAAACAAAACAAATTTTAATATTCTTGACTGATAAGATTACAATGAATAAAAAATATATATTCTTCGTAAACAACAATTATATGAACAGAATTAGATAAATGACTCTAATTAGAAATCTAACAGACAGATATTTGTTGGTTCTGTTTCTAATCCTTCTGTCCATAAAAGGTAGAGTCCAGTGAGACAAGATAAAAGTTCGTTCATATATAGATTTAAAGTTCCTTAGAATATCTGGAAATTTGTAGACAAAAGGACTGTTTTATTCTTGGAATACTAACTTCTAAAAAAAAGCCAAATACTACATACCGTATTATGAGATATGAACATTTTTTTTTCAGATGAAAACTTCTGTTTGTGCTGACATATCAGAACTTTTTGAGGACCATTAAATCTGTCTATAGATGAAACTCTTTCATTTGCTTCTTCTGCAAATCGTTTGGCATAAAGCACCCAATGTAGTATAACGGGTGTCCCAGAAGTTCTGAAACAATTTTAAAATTCATCCTTCTTTTATTCATGTTTTTATCAAGCGAATTAAGCCAAAAACAGTTGTGTTGCAAAAGTAGTCAACGTTTGGCCTATATATATATAATAACTATAGTGCATTAAAAGAGAAATTACGAGGGCATGAATACAATAATATTGAACAATTGAAAAACAACACTAAAAAGGAATGAATCAAATTTAGTGTTTCTTTATGTCAATGAATGATAGGTAAAACATCAACACGATTAAAAATTAGTAATCGATCAGGATGGTAATCAAATTCATGTGCATTGCTAATTTCATATATATTTCTTTTTATTTCGAAAAGGTTTATTGTTTTAAAACTAATAACCAAGATGAATGTGAGAGTCGAGTGAGTTTTGTTGTTTTACAAAATTAAGTACCCACGACCGATTTGGACCGTGCTTAAAGCTTTCATCAGATGGCTACACCAGTTCTGCATCTTATTAATCTATAGTTGAATGGAGTGCACTATTTTGAGGATTGTTAAAATTTAAATCGAAGAACGTTAATCTGAAAATCTTATGCTGTTTTAAGATATATAGGAAAGAATGATTTTTTTTTAATGTTGTTTCATTGAAATAAGATTATACAACCATAAGTTTCAAAGGAGAGTGTATAGAAATAATGGCTTTTCTGATTTATTAAAGGTCTTTTCTTTAATGATGCATCCTTTTCTTAAGTATGGATTTTGAGTTTTGTGTATTGTGTTTCTTATGTTTTGTACAGCTTGGTCAGTACTTGTCGATTAGGTTTTTTCTTGATTAATAGTTGGTCTAATCTATTGTTTGTTCGTATTCCTAATTTCAAATGAACATTGTTCATTGGTGAGCCTTTGTAATTATAGTGTTGCTGCCATGGTTGCAATAATTTTCGTTTGAATTTTAGAAATGGACCATTTTCGAAGGTGTAGTGAACTAGAATTTCTTTTTTGTTCCAAATGCATTGCGCTTTCAAAACTTTATGTGCTAATCAAGGGAGAACAAAAGGATTTCAACTTCTAAAATCACGAAATCAGTTTGTTTCTCCTTGGAATCAGCTGCTATTTTGAGTCGTGTGAAAATTGTTGGTTTGGTGTGAATGTGACACTTTCATCCTTCAATGGAGGTCGTCTTATGGTTGATGGTGATGTTAAATTCTATAAACATGAAATACAGAAATATCGCTGTCACATATGAAAACTATTGCAGAGCAATTGTGTCTATGCCAATAATCGACAAAGTGATATCAGACCTACAGATAGAACATTTTTAAGGATTTCATTAAAGATATTGCACACAGATACCAGATAGTAGAGTTAAGTCTATACGAAAATAAGTATGTTTTTCCTTCACAATAAATGAATCGATTGAATAAAAACAGTAAATATTGAAATTGATATATACAGAGGAGAAGAACGTATATATGTATATATTAGATGCACAATTAAAAGAGAATAAGAGACGACAAAAAATTGAATCACAAATATGCAGCGAGCGATACTACAAATGCTATTAATGAAAAGTGAATGAGTGCATTTTTTATATTTAATGATTACTCTACACCTCATTGAAAATACAACGAATAAGCAATGTAAAGTGCTATCATAATTATTCAATTACTGCAGTTTTCTCAATAAATTTTTGCTGTTTACCGCTGAATTTTTAACAATATTTCTTCAATGAATATGATTTATCAATAGTGAAAACGTAATGAAGATATTCGATTTTTTTCTAGTCTCTTAAGGACTATTAACATTCTTATACTCTAATACGTGATAACGTTGCAAATGCAGCTGCTGAATATTGAATTACCCATAAATCTGTGATAATGATAGCACAAGCTTAGATGCACAGATACAAGAACGACATAGTCAATTCAGATAAGGCATGCAAAATTTGGCGCTCTTTAGAATCTTCTTTTTTTTGCCCAAGATACGACCTGTACAATGCGATAAGATCGCACAAAAATTATCGTTTTTGTACTAAGTTATTGTTCCTTTGATATTACATGGTTACTTTCTTGAAATCGTATTTTTTACTTCGAAAAGATTCCATAGAACCCTATTTTTCAATACGTATCTGTCTGTGACGATAAGGTACTTTCTTTCTCTACTATCGTTGAGATTAGGACCTGCAAAATTGAAGTTGTCGTGTAAGATCAGTTTAATGACAATGCAGTCTCAGAGATTCAAAACTGAATTATCTAAACCAAATAAAAATGTTTCACAGGACTTTCAAGTTTCATCAGATGAAAATATAAACTGATTTTCACTATGGATTTTTCACGCTCTATACAACAGTAAGTATTAAAATAAGAGAGAGCTTATTCAACGTTGCTACATGCATTACATGATTCCAAAAGAATAAATATTTCTGGATGAGACTATTTTACATTTTTGTTCCACCATTGTATGATTTTTCTAAAACATCACAATATATTGGTTTTCTTTGCGATTTTCTAGAAAGAAATTTTTACTTGGATAATGAAGCGACATTCTAATGCATTAAACAGAACAATGCTGGCACTAATGATAGTTGTCAGTCGGCTATTGATTGCTGAGACCGCATCAGTTGGACAAGTTACAGCCGTTAATCTGGATGATTTCCGATTGCGACCTGCTAGTAATCAAGCTGAATTGCTGGATATAGTCCAGAAGCTCGATGTCGAACTCCCAAAGCTCGGCGTGAAGAACATTCTTGATGAAGCCAATCGGAATGGTACGCTAAGTACTACATCGAAGACGTGTAATCCCCACGCTACTTTGAATCGGAATTTGACCACCGTCAGCTATTGCTTCAGTCAATCAGACAGCAGTACAATTGGCGGCGATGTGGAATGGATGCCGCAGGGAGTTACTACAGTAGCTGATGCAAGGGTAGACCAACTGTGGAACACCAAACAACCGATACTAATCAGCTGGTATGACAAAAAATCGGATAAGATAACGAACACGGATGCCGATAAAATAAAAGGTGCCAGAGTAACCTTCTTTGACCCAGTTACAGCCAAGTATCAACATGTACTGTTGGTCTATCCACTCATCAATAGTTTTGGTAACCCGAGCTACATGAGCCTGCGCACTACACAGAAGAACGAATATGACTCATTGCATGCCGGTGGTATTGCCTGGTATGGTAACTATCTGTATGTTGCTGACACTGCAAATGGTTTTCGAGTCTTTGACATGCGCTACATTTTCGATCTGAAAACAGCAACAAACGGTGATACGAGCGATAAGAATCAGATTGGTCGCCAAAATGGTAAATATTATGGACATGGCTATCGCTATGTAATGCCGCAGGTGGCCGCTTGGACCAACGTTGTCGAAAGAGATTTGACAAAGAAGTGTACAGCTAATTCTGGATCACCAACATTTTCTTTTGTAGGAGTGGATCGCAGTGGCCTTGACCATTTGACTTCTGGTGAGTTTTGCGCAGATAAAGCTGCTGCAGGTGATATTAATAAGTCGGGACGTGTGGCTCGCTGGCCTTTAGACGGTAATACTGGACAGCCAAAGCTCACTAATGGTGTCTGGAAAGCTGACGCAGCCTATCGATTACCAATCTCTAATATTCAAGGCGCAGTATCTTACGACAATAAGTGGTATTTGAGTCGTAGTCAAGGATCATCGAATGGCTTCCTATATGTTACAAAGCCCATTATTACTCCCACCGGAATATTAGAAATCGATACGGCCCACTTTGCTGCGGTTGGTCCCGAAGACCTGTCACATTGGACTAAACCAGATGGCAGTGCAGGTGGTCTCTGGACTGTAACTGAGCATGCTGGTAAGCGGTTACTGTACGTTTGCGATATTGATCGACTCAATCAACGAGAGGAAAACAATCGTATTTGTGGACCTCGTCCCAATATATCATAATGCTTCATATGTACAAGTTCTAATTTAATCTAGCAATAAACAAAAACATCTTTCTTGGGAACAGTACTTTGTTGATTTTGTTTTCTATCAAAAGAATATTGTTTTACTGAAAACTAAATTACTTTGTGCATCAATCGAAAATAAAAAGCAAGTTCAATCTGCTAGCCTCAACTTTTACTTTTCAGGAATCGATGTTGATCGACATTAAATGAATGCGTAACGCTTGTTGACAACACTCGGTTGATTCTGCACTGAGATTGTCTAAAATGAATCGTAAAGGGTAGCTGGCAGTGAGTAGTCGGCGGCTCTACAGGTTGCTATTCCTCACTGCTCAACATTGTGTTGATACGAATATAATCAAAAGTTATATTTCATTTTCTTTACATACTCTTACTATATCAACTCTTTCTGTAATGAATAAAATAAGAAAAGTAATAAATTTATAGAAATTGAGTGGACATTTTAGATAATATATTGTATTTGTCCACATGAAAATATTCTTGTTTAAAAATAATATATCAACTTGACATGCTCTATTAAGTACAAAAGGCAAAATAGAAAGACTCATCCGAGTAGAATGAGAATCGAGCTCACATATTCTAATAACCAATTGGCTGTTCTACCGTTAAACTACTTAAATTATCACCTCAACTACATAGTAGCTACACATTATTATCGAAAACAATCAAAACAAATAGATAAGAATATTAATGATCGATTAGATCTTTCTTTAATTTTTGCCGTACAAGCACTGTTCCTTACTTTATATCTTATAGTCTGTTTGAAGCAGAAAGAGATAGCTTGTGTTTATATAGACTAGTGATAGTTATTTATTAGAGGAATGTGAATATTTTCCGTAATAGGTCGTTCAACCATAAAGATATGCTCGTTACTATTAAATTCAATTATGATGCTCGAATAAACTCGCATAGATTCTTTTTCATTCTACTTCGTAGTGCCTTTCTCGTTAATGGAAAGTATATTCAATATACGGTTTCCAATTCATCATTAGAACCATACTCATGTACCATTCTATTTGTATCTTCATTTTATCTTGGATGATGAAAATGGTAAGTTGTAATAATCTTTCACTGTTGGATAATGAGTTATCTTCTTGTTAGACATTTGAATTGATCTCATATCCAATTCGACTTTTCTTCAACTCTTCGTCAATTTCCACTTCTTTTATTCGATTGATAATTGCACAAAATTTTAAGACGAATAACAAACGATTGAAAATCTCTAAATCAACCAATAAAAATATTGATGAGCATTAAGTGAGAATCTTTGTACTCGATAATTTCCTTTATCGACAACATATATATTTCCATGTCGATCGAATGACAAACCATTCGGATAGGAGAGTTGATTCGCAGGTGTGGGTGGGTGTTGGATGTGCGTGTGGATTAGAGCCCTTCATTGAGTCCAAAAACGACTTGCTGGACCCGGTCAAAGAAGTGTCAGCCGTTCCGTCATTTTTTGTGCTAATACGTTGTTCAAACGTTCATTGTGTAGGGGAATACTGTCTCTTTCACTTCATCTATTTAGAGAAGCATTAGAGTTCATGATGGTCAAAAGTTTTTAAAAGAAAAACTCCGGGTCTGAACTTACCGGGTCCGAGCGGGTCCAAGTTTGAACCTGGACTTTCTCTATTAAAAAATTTCGGCTATGAATGATTCTAATGCTTCTCTAAATAGATGAGATGAAAGAGAAAGTATTTCCCTACAAGATGAACGTTTGAATCATGTATTAGCACAAAAAATGACGGAGCAGCTGACATTTCTTTGACCGGGTCCAGCAAGTCGTTTTTGGACCCGATGAAGGGCTCTAGTGTGGGTGTGGGTATGAGTAAAGAAAGAAATGACACTCACACTCACACTCACACTCACACTCACACCCACCCACCCACACCCCACCCACCCACATCCCACCCACACACCACACCCACCCACACCCCCACACCACACCCACCCACACCCACCCCCACACCCACGCCCTTATTGATCGTCATTATCATTTAATTGTCCATATCAACATTATCACATTTGTGTTTCACCTCATACAAATCAATTTATGTGTTTACCTCTTGAAAAAGCAAATGATGGTAATACTGATTGTCTTGGTGGTACTGATGAACCTAAATTATGCCGATCAAATGATTATCAACCTAGCGATAACAATTTCCAGTGTATCGGTAACACAAGCGAACTTTGTATTAATCCAGTAGAATTGTGTTTTGAAAGTCGTTGTCAAGATGGAGCTGATGAACAATTTTGTGATAAGACTTGAAATATCACGATATACTCTGGTATTTGTGAGAAATGGTATGAAGATATTCGTTCTGCTGTTGAAAATTTCTTTTGTACACGTCAATTCGATGCCAATAAGCCGACAATGATACATTTTGCACTTGGTAAATCGACGAACTCAACAAC